TTTAATTGGCATCAGGAAGGTCTTTGGGACCTTGGAATCCCAAACACCAGTCAGGAGAGGTGCGTGGGTCTGAAAGGTGCCTCTGCACTGTGAAATCTTGACAGTGATGTTAAGGAAGGGGCAAAGGAAAGTGCAGGGCTTTGAGAGGTATGTAGGAGGGGTTGGTGAAAATGGAAAGGGTGAAACTTCTATATGTCCTTGTGTGGACTTGTAAAGGCTTAAAAATACCTGAAGTCCCTACAGCCCACTGGTTTCAGGGGGTTTGTCACAAGCACAGCTTGGTGAGTGCCCTGAGACATCTCCCATCTGTGTGTGCTGCCCAGATTGTGGAGCTGGGTCAGGGTCACCCTGGGACTGGCACCTCACAAGGACAACTCACCTGATTGCACTTGGGGGGAGATTAATCACTCCTATAAGGGCTGGCTTTCTTGACTAAGTGTAAAGACAGCCAAGGGTAACTCATGCAAACCTCTTGTGTCCCACGCACAGATGCACACAGTAGGGCAGGAATGTCTTTCCTATAAACCAATAGAGATCTGATGTGGATACAAAGGCTCAGAGAGGGGCTTGTCCAGTCCAGGTCCTTTCTGGATATCAGCATCAAATGCTTTGGAGTAAGATGGAAGAAACCAGCTATAATCTGCCTGGAGCAGAGGCTGGGATACAGAAGGTTTTATCCTTCGCATTAGATGAGTATTCAAATAATTTAACTGTGGATGCTCTTATCCTTCATATACCGATGGAGTTGTTTTTGTGGCTCTAATGCTCTCATGACCTCAATGTCTTCTGTAAGTGCATTTCTCAGGTTAATTATGCATTAAGCTTGCATAAGGCTTTTCCTTTTTTAATCATTTCTAAACCTGTGGCCTTCAGAGGTGCTGAATGCACTGGCACTCAGGCTCTATCAGGGGGCTTACAGGAGTACTGTACCCACCTTTCCACCCTGCCAGTTCTTTTGTACACCGTGATATATGCCCTTTATTTGTCACCATGCTCAATAAGCACTCCTGTTATTCTGGCTTTATTCTCACCTGCACAGGCTTCTCTGACATGCACTACAGTAACATAACACCATAAAGGAAGATGATTACTGGTGTGATTGAGATGTTGTAGTCAGCTCACTTTCCTTCTCTATGAGATGGAGAAGTGTGTGTGTGTGCTCTGGAAGAGCCTGTTTGGGAGCTGCTGGGAGATTTGTTTTTCTTAAACAGACTCAATCTTTGCTGCGTGGCCTGTGTGAGTGTAAGAAAGCAGATAGAAAGTGTGCCTTGCACTTGATGGTGTTTCTCTTTCTTTTGGAAATCTATTTATCTTCTTTTCTTTGCTTTTTTCTGGGTTTTCTCTTTGATTTCTTGGCAATCTCTTTTGAGCTGAATGAGCTTTCCTTCTCTGAAGTCTAAGACCATGAAAGTAAGGGTTAGGTAGCATAGAAGTAAGCTGAATAACTTGGTTCTTTCTTTAAGGCAAGCATTTCTGTTTGCAAAGTAACTTGACAGTCTTGTGTAATTTGGATTTAGGCATCCTGGTGTATAAGCCAAAGCTAACAGATATTAATTAGAGGACTGGAACTGTAATGAGGGCAGTCACTCACATAGGTTGGCATTTTTATTTTAAATGCAAGTAATTAAAGAAAAAGTTGTGTTGAGAAAGCCAGCATTAAGAGATGTTATAAATAACACACCCTGGGTGGTGAGAGTTAGAGAGGTAGTTGAGGGAGAGAATAACAGCCAGATTATTGGTTCAGTGGCTGCTGTGATGCTCGGCTAGGGATGGATTATCCTTGCAGCAGGGGAAAAAGGAGTAAAGGAGAAGTGTGGCTTTAAAATCATGGCAGAGGAGAAGGCCAGCAAGTTGGAAGAGCTTTGTCAGTGTATTTGGAAGTGCACAGGGAAGTTGTGTCTTCAGAGGATCCCAAAAAGCTGGTCCAAGAGGCAGTGATGTAGTACTCGAGTCTGCAATGTAGACTTTGGGTTGGAAAATAGTGCAAGGTCCTGAGTGTGCAGCCAGTGTTTAATGGGGATCCTGTAAAACACCTCCCAGCCCTTGGTCCTGCTGAGCTCATTCAGGAGGAAGTTTGCGTGGAGGAAAAGCTCTGAGTGAAGTCTGTTTGGCTACTTTAAACCCTGGCACAGTATAACCTGGGAGGCAGAGATGATTGGAGCCCAGGGGCCAAACCCAGGGATGAATCTGTGGAGGGGCTGGAAGCACAGCCATACCTTTGGGTTGTGATCTCAGGAGTATGCGAGTGTGATGGGAGGAGGTAGAAAAAAGTCAGATCCTGGATCTGAAATATCTGTCAAGGGTGCCCTGGAGATAACCCAGAACACCTCTGGGGCAGAGAATTACTGTACCTGCCCTGTTAACCGAGGGAAGTCCCAATGTGGTCTGCAGTTTAACTTCTCTGACCTTACTGTTGGTAAAACAAAGACATGGTTGCCTCAGGGGTTACTGTCTCCAGACCCAAGATAGAAAAGAGACTCTGGAAATCATGGCAAGCCCACAGGAAAGGGGGTCATGCAGTGGGAAAAAGCTGTAGTGATGAGTGCTTGCCATGGCATGCAAGCTCTGCAGCCCACAGCTCTCTCTCCCTCCCCTCAGCCCTGGAGATTTTCCATGGCGGTCTTGTCCTAGGTCAGGGTCTGGCCGAACTGGACTGCTGAGTACCCATGCAAAATTCATCTCGGAGCAGGCTGAGCTGCCCCAGGGGTTTGCATGATGGGGACTAGCTTTTATCTGATGTGCCAGCCCTATGGGGAGGCTGGATGTGCCTAGCACCACTGGGGACCACAGTCATTTATGGGTTTTTAACTATTTGTTTCCCTTCTCTAAAACCCAGCTGTCTGTAATGATGGCCAAGTCCTTCCTCTTCTCTAGATGGTATATAGTGAAGGAGACAGTAGATGAGGAATGCAAATCAAAGCTAAAAAATGTGCTTTCCCATCTTTTTTTTTTGTTTAAGAAGATTAATATTAGCTAATCATCTGTGTAAACAATCTCAATATGCAAACTGAAAAGTAGCATCCCCCCTGGCATCAGCTGCTTTGAGCTTCCCCATTAACCTCTCCTGAGCAAAAAACCTTCTTGAACAGCCATTTCAGAGTGTGCAAAATTGATTTTGTATTTGGCCTCCGCAGTGGAAGAAGATGGCGGCACGGAGCTGTGGGTGCCTCTTCTGCTCCATCGTCGTTTTTTTGTGATATCCTCTTCCCCTGAGCGTCTCGGTGATGGAGGACGGGTGGTTGTAGTGCCGGGGGTGCCAGCGGGTCGGTCTCGCTGCCTGGGTGTGCAGGTCCCTCCTGGTGCCTTCTGGTGAGCAAAAACAATAAGAAACAAATTTACAGCAGCCCCTCCTCGGATAATTTCCACAGCGCAAAGACCCCCTGCCTCCCACCCCTTTCGTGTGCGTATTCTCTTAATTAATTAATACTGCATTCATCACTGCTTAATTCCCGTTTCCGTAGCACCCGAGGAGGGGGGCTACTGGCAAAGGCGGGTGCTGAGATGGTCTAGATCTGCCGTCTTAGTGGAGGAGCTTAATTAGTCCCCGTGACAATATGGGATTGTTTCCTGCAGCCCTGTAATGGTGGTTTCAAACTGGCTTCTCGTGCCCGGCAAACACAGCCCTACGTCCCTGTGTTGGTCCCTGTGCAACTGAGTTGTGTGTGCTTGGGGGGGTAAGGTGATCTGCAGCAACAGCTGCCCAAATTAAAAAAAAAAAAAATAAAAAATCACAAATTGACCCTTTTTTGAGCTTGTTGAGGGACAGGAGGCAAAGCCGTTGGGTTGGGTCTGTCCTGGAGTCTCAGTTCTGGGGATGGGTAGGCTGGAGACTGGGACTAAACTGAATTGGGCTGTAAAACAGGGTCTGGTACACCCCTCTGTGCTTGTAGCTGTCACTAGAAATGTTGCAGGGATCCAGGTCTCCTTTTCTTTTAGTTTTTTTATCTTAAACACAACCTGTTGGCACTTGTGTGCTGCCTCTGCTGTAAACCTCTCTGCTACTCTGTACTGCAGTCCTGATTGGGACCATGGCTGGGGAGCCAACTGGGCCGGCCCTGCAGCGTGCTGGGGTGAAACGGCAAACAAACCAGCAAACGTTAACTGCTGCGGTGCTTTAGGAGGAGAATACAACTTCTTGATGACTGTCTGGAAAGAAAGCCGATGCACTTGTCAGCATCCGTTTTGTGGTGTGCATTGGTGTTTAGATGGATGCCTTTTATTTTTTAATATTTTTATCTCCCTATTTTTGAACTCTTCTCCCCTCTACAAAAAAACCCCGAGGAAATCCCATGTGCCCCCACAGCTCGTTTCTCGGTGGGGTGGTGACCATGGGTACGTGTGCTCCCATCTGCCTGGGCACCATGTTAAAGGTAAGATGGAGATACCCAGAGCGTGCGTGTGAGAAGGGAAGATGGAGGGGGAACAAAAGCAGCAGATCCGCCGCTGTGCCGGGCAGGGCTCCTTGCCAAGAGTGGCTGCGGCACGCAGCCCTGGTCGGGGTGACGGTTTCCCCCCACAGCTGCTATGGCCGGCGATGCTCCCTCCCGCTCCTGCTCTCTCCTCCCCGGTGCAGGCTGCCGGCAGGCCAGGGCGTGAAGGCGGCTCTCGGCTGGGATGCGGGATGTCGCCTCGCCTGCGCCCTTCCCACCGCTAGACAGGACCGTGTCGTTGGCGCTCCGGCAGCCGACGCGCGCCTGTCCCGTGTGACTCGCATACGCAATGCAGCCATGCTTAACGAGCGTGAGTAATTATGCCAGCCGGAGGGTTGGGGTGCGGGGGGCGGTCGGGGTTGGATGTGCGAGTTGTTTTCCCTTGATTTTTTTTCTTTAATTTCCATTTCTCTTCTCTTCCCCCACCCCTTTTCCCCCCCTGCCCAGCCCACAGCATTGAAACTTGGCCACCTCCTTGGCGGTGGCTTCGGGAGGGCCAGGGACGTGGGGGTCAGTTGGCACAGCAACTGCTGTTCGGGGACAAAAGGAGGCTTTTTTTTTTTTTGCAGTGACAGTAGCAGCTGCCAGCCAGAATAGCAAATCCGTGCGACTTGGCACCACTCCAGCTTCCTTGAGGGTTGCAGAGGGATGGTATGTTGGAGGGTAAGACTAGCTAATTAATCTTCTGGCAGAGAACAATGTAATATCAGACAATTACAAAGACAGAATGAAATTACTATAGTGGGAAGGCTGGCATACGAATTTCTCAAAGGGTCCATCCCTCAGCCCGCTGCCGTGTTATATGCGGGAAAAGCACCGACTGTACATGCGCTTTTCTGTTGTGTGTGGGGTTTTTTTGTATGGATTGAATTATGTGTTTGGAGGAGGGGCGGGGGAACGCAGGCTTGATCGCAGGATAAGCGTTTTGAGGAGCAAAAGGGAGAAAGAAGAGTCACTTCAAGCAGAGACGTTCCCTGCCAACCAGCTGTACTATGAGGGTGGACCTGGTGTGTCGCTGATGCTATGGGCTCACGGGGCTTGGTATAATTTTCCTGGCTACTTGTAGTGATTGCATGGCGATGCCTGATGGCTACAGCTTTTGGGAGGAGGATGTGACTGCTGGGCAGAGAGTATATGATTTGCTTCAGCCTTTCTGCATGGAGGAGCACTTAAAGCTTTGGAGCTGCTGAAAGTTATTGGGGAAACACACCTACCAACTCAGTGGTGGTAATTGCCAATAATTAGCTGTAATCACTACTACCTGTAGTTGGGATGCTGTGATGAATAGGGCAGTGCAAGCTGCATGGTGCAGGCTCCCTGTCTATTTATTTGTGGTGGGGAAAGAATTAGGGAAGTCTCATTTATCCTGGAGCACAGGAAAGCATCGGTGGGAGATCAGCCTGTGCGGAATTAGCATAAGAAACCCCTCCTCCCTCCTCCTCCTCCTCGCCAGGCATTAGGGATAAGCTAATGACTCTCCTCCCTCTGCATCTCCCTCCCAGGATGAAACTTAATGCAGTGGGATCTCTAGAAGTGTCATTAAAAAGCAACATGAAAACGGTATTAGTCAAATTCTCTTTGCTGTGGTGTGTATGTGTGCAAGGCCTGTGGGGACATGGCCAGGAGCTGCTTTGAGCCAGGAGAGGATTTGGAGCAACTCCAGCTCAGTTGTTCTTTCTCCTAAGGAATTTGAGTAGGTTTTTGTTTGGTGCCTACACAAATCAGATGGTGCAGAGACGATGTTTAAAAACCACTGCAAGCCCCTCCTGCCTGCCTTGGCTGCTATACTGGACTACCGGTTGTTACTGAAGCTATTGGAAAACTGAAGCTGAATAAGTGTTGGGTTTTTTTTCTTAAGAGGGTAGCAATGTCAAGTGTTGGACTGGCAGGCTGGGGCCCCTTTTCCAAGATGCAGATTAGGAGGAGCTGCACACAGTCTAGTCCTTGTCCTGTGCCCTGGAAGGCATCCTGGTGCCTGTATGTGGGTATTTGTCTGAAATTACCTCAGGGCTGGCTAAGTATTGGGAATGTTTCCCATTGGGTTTCCTTAGTGATGAAGGTCCCATCAGAAGTCCCTTGGTGTGGTGCATATAGATGTGTGTAGCTTAACTGGCTATGTGTGCTTGCTCTGCCCCAGCCTGGGATCCCTGTGCTGGCTCCAAGGCCTTCTGCTGAAACCTGAGAAACCAAAAAATTCCCTGTGCAGCAGAAAAGCACAGATCCCACAAGCCAAGTCTCTGCTCTCACCATCCTGTACACACCCTGTGTTTGCTCTGAGGGTCCCCAAGTGCTCGGGTACAGAGTGGCTGTTCATTCCCTGGGTGCAGAAGAGAATGGATGTGTCCTGTCCCTCTGGAGGATGCAGAGCTCAGCCTGGCTGTCCCTTTGGTTCCTGTCATCATCTGCCTACCTGCAGCCAGCCAGACCTCCAGGGCCTGGGGCTCTGGGGGAAAACCCTTTCAAGCTCAGCCCAGTTTATGTACTTGCAGGAAAAGTTCTCAGCTATTTCCTGTCCCTAATTAGAAATGGTGAAGTTCAGTCCTGGCACCTGAAGTCCTGCTAAGGATGGACTTACCCTGTTCAGGTCCCTGGTTCAGGCCCAGTATTAATTTCAGCTCTGTTCATCAGTCCCAGCCTAGAAACACTGCTCCTGCATGGAAGTGCAAGAGAATCCGAATTGCTTCATATTCAATGATTGATACCAGAGATGTTGCTGTAAATTAGTGAGTTCATCTTATTGACTATACTTGAAAATTTTCACTTTATGAATCTTTTATGGAGTTCTATTTACTACAGTTTTTTTTTTTCCCAGTGTATTGAAATTTTACCTTTTAAAACCATACAAAAAAACCAAAAAACTCAACCTTTTACAATCGGTGGACTCAATGAAAGTCACCCTCTGGGTCCTGCTCATGTTCACACCGTGGGGCTGAATTTGCCCTTGAAGGTGGGTGTATCCAAACATGTGCTCAGGCTAAAGATCTAATAATGGTCTGGGCACTCTCTGACCTGAAGACCTGAGCCTTGATGCTGCTGAAATTCCCTCCTTGCAACAGGGTGTGTCTCCCCTCGAGTCCTGCTGAGCCTCTCCAAGTCAACCTCTGGAGTTAGGAAATTTAATTTGTAATAAATCTGCATTACAGTACAAGTAAATCTGCTTCAGTGGCTATAAAAATTAATTCCTTAACCTAAACATTATTATATAGCTTTCAAAATGAATTGGCTGTGGTTGGTAGCCTAGTACGTACCATTATTGGTAATTAGTGTAACAAAACAACATTGCTGTAATATTTCCTGTCTACCCCTCCCCCAGCTGGGAGCCATTTCCTATTAGAGAATCAGAATTGCAAATGCAATGCATGTGTGCAAACTGCTTGCTCTGATTATTTTTATTCTTACACTTTGTGTGTGTTGGAAGTTGATATGTTCCCGTCTGTGGCTTTCTGTGAGCATTTGCTTCTGGAAAAGCTTTGGTGTGGCGCAGGGCTCCGTTAGAGCCTGATGCTGGAGGGCGTGGTGGCTACCTGGAGGTTCCCTCATGCTCTTGGGTGTCCTTTGAGCTTTAGCGTGTGTGCAGCTGCTGCTGAGGTCGCTTACCATCTCCCAGGATCTGGCCTTTGTGCCATGTCTTGCAGACAATGTGCATCTTGATCGGTTTTTGCAGTGATCCACCATACCCTTGTCTCCATCCAGAAGCTCGGCTTGTTCTAGGAGACATGATGGATCTGCCCATGGAGGCACTTGGGCAGCTTTGAGTCTGCCAAGAGGTGGAGTGAAGCCGAGGTCCCCTCTTCTGAGGGAGATAGATTAAAGACTAGGTTAGGGCAGCAATTTCTAGGCAAAGGAGTATCTATAGCAGGAATGTGTACACACTTGTAAGGCTGAAAGGACCTGAAAAACTTTCCTAGGCTTTTGCAACTGGGCAAACCAAATTTCCTCGCTTTACTCTGGTTCGACCAAGAAACCTGAACAGGATTTAAAAAATGGGATGAAAATGCAGGAGTAGCAAGTAAGTTTAGTTGATGTTTCCCCCACTGTGAGTGGGATGGAAGGACACCACTGGGCAGCTTTGCTCCGCAGCCCCATTCTCAGCCTGTCCCATGGCATCTTGCTCCCTCCTGCTGTGTGGCCAGGAGTTATCCAGCCGTGGTGCTCATCCTGGCATAATCACTCAGGAACATCCATACTAAACATTTCAGCAAGGCTGACTGGAACAACTACTGGCACTTTATTTGTAGAGTTTCCCATTTTTTTTTCACCACCATATCCTTTTTTTCCCCTGAAAATACAGCCTTCAGTGTTGCCTTTTGAAATACTCCTCTGCAGCCAGGAAGGTCAGAAACTTGATTCTCTGTGAATGAGTGTTTAGAGCCTCCTGTAACTTTTCCAACTCTGGGATCTGGGACTTTTATATGAAATACCCAATTTAAAACTTAACAACTCAGTAATAAGAACCCAGGACCAGAGAAATGGGAAGATGGGAGGAGGCCTGATTTTTCATGCTGTCCCCAGCATGGAGTTATTTCTTGAGTTTTGATGACATGACAGCTTCAGAAGTCTGGATCTATGCCCTGGGCTCAGTCACCCAATATATCACAGAGCTGAAAAATGTAGAAACTAAGCAGTAAAACTGAGTGGGAGATATCTTTGGCACCCTGGAAAACATTCAAGATTTAGATACAGTAATAATAATATCAGTACTGTTGGCCCAGATTAAGATAGTAAATCATAATTCCAAATTCCAGTGAGTTACAAAGCGAACAGGCTGTGCCAGCTGAAATCTTTGATTTGGTCCAAGCTGGTTTTGGTAGCTGAGCCTGGGGTTTTGTGTTTTGGTTGGAGTTGGACAAATGCAATTAGCTTAAGCCTGAGGATACTAATTCACTCCAAGCTGGGGGAGGGAAATAAACTGCATGTTGGAAGGTGATATAATCATGACTTCAGGACTTTATCCAACTTTTTTTTCTTAAGTCAAAGGATACTGCAGTGATTCAAAACAGGATTTCACTAGGAATGAATTGATGTATCTTTTCCCAATGGAAAACCCCACGCTGATACCAGGTAGGGCCACTGCAGTACTTTGAAGCCTCTGGACCCATCGCTCTCGCAGGATGAGAACAGGGCGTTGTTGGTACTGGCCAGGAAAAGCAGGATATTTTCTTCTTTTTAGATGCCTTATAGAAAACTCTGTATCTCGGGGATTTCTGGAATTAAGTATTTTTAAGCCCTCTGACCAATTTTTCCTCTCCCCTTGGTTTTGACAAGTGGCTGTGATGCCAAACATCTTTCTAACTTGAAGTTTGGGGTTTTTTTTATTTGCTGCCCTTCTCATGTCACTGGCAGCTAAGTTTGCTGAAGTCTTTGTGCATAGACTTCAAAATGCTCAGATTTTTCATCAAAGTGGAAAGTATCTGTTTTTCTTCATATGCATATTTCTGCATTTCTTCTCAGTTCTTCCCAACTCCAAACCTCTCCCTCAGCCCTGCTGCACTGATCACTCTGTTTCAAACCTCATCAAAGTTTTCAGCTTCATTCTTGGTGTGAGCCTGCTATTTCTGTATCTTTTTAATGAATCATATAACTCTGAAGGAGAAAAACTAAGAAAACAACACCTGTAGCAAGTCAGTATGGTGAATGAGTCCTTACTGCAGCTAGGTGGAAAT